CGCGGGCGCTGGGTAACCCGAGCCCCTGAATGGAGCGCCGGGAGCCGCCGGGAACTGCCTGTGGCAGGACTCCAGCACCTGTGCCCAACCTGGGCGGCTCTGTTCCCTTCCCCTTGCCCACCCGTGTCTGGGCCTAACAAGTGGGCTCTAAACGGGGCTAGGGTGGCCCGGAGCCTGCGGTTCGGCTGGGGTCCCCACCCTCGTCCCCCAGAGGCAGGGGATGTCTTCCTGAGAATAGAGTCTGGTCTGCTTTCCTGCCCACTGCCCCGAACACACTCTCGGGTCAACTCTGCCCAGCCCAAGACATACCCTGCTCCCACCCGGCGACACGCTCTCCCCTTCCCCCTCCTCTGGGCCACCACTGCCCTCCCCACCAGTTGCCCCAGCCTCTTTGTTTACATTCCTGCCCTTTCCCAGACCTGGCTCTGTGCCCCAGGCTGTCCCAGCCAGGGACCCGATCCTGTCCGAGGCCACCTCCTCCGGGAATGCACCTATCAAAGCATGAACTTGACCCTGGGCCAATGCAGGTGTCCCCCACACCTGTAGCCCCAGATGCTACTGGGGTGGCTCTATAGCATCCTGACACCTCCAGTCCAACCTTCCAGCCGGAAAGCACCGGCCCTATAGCCGCTCAGCTTGGACCTGTCTTTGCCCCACATTGCCCAGAGCTGTCTCTAAGGGGAGCTGCTGAAACTGCCACAGGGCTAGGTTTTTGTAAGACAGCTGGGAGGACAGGCTTTCAGAGACAAGAGCCCAGTGCTACCTCCCACTTCCCAACTCGGTAACCTTGAATGAGTTCCTTGACCTTGGAGAACCTCAGTTTGCTGTCCGGCAAAACTGGACAACCGCTATCCACCCCAGAGCCCTACTGTGGCCTTGGACAGCTTGCTGACAAGCCAGCCGACGGAGGGAGGGGTGAATGCCCCTGTCCCTGTCCTCTAGGCACCAGGGGCCCTGGCTTCCTGGGACATACGCTGGCTATGCCCTCTCCAGATGGGGAGCAGCCTCCTGGAGCTCCCTTTGTTCCTTCCCCGCTGCCAGGGCCTCTCCCCAGAGGGTGGTGCTGACCCAGATGGCGGGCTGGACCTTGAAGAGTTTACCCAATACCTGCAGGAGCGGGAACAGCGCCTGCTGCTGCTTTTTCACAGTCTGGATCGGAATCAGGATGGTAAGGCCCAGGGATGGGGCTGTGGGAGCCAGGGAGACGCCAATGGGCATAGAACTGGTGATGCCAGGAGGAGGGGTAAGGCCCGCTTCTCCCTGATGACTCACAGGCTATTTTGAGAACCCTCCTCACCCCCAGCTAGGTAGGTGGTTTGGGGCCCAGCCAGCCCATCAAACCTTCTCTTCCTGGAGTGAGACCCCTATTATTTACCCTTAGATTTTTTAAAGGGACAAAGAGCCCCCCTGTTGCTCCCGGATTCCCTATGGAACAGAGACCCTCCTCCCCATAGTATCTTCTAGGTCTCCAATATCACCTCTTGATCCTCTGTGGTGCAGGGAGCCCCATAATTACCCCGACGTTCACCTCTTCATTTATTCATGGATCAGAGGATCCCCCAACATTGCCCAGTCCCACTTCTCTGATCCCAGCAGGGCAGGGATTCTCCAACCCTGCCACAAACTTCACCCAGGTTTCTGGATCCCCAGTCTTGCTAAACCACTCCCATTTCAAACTGTCCTGCTCCTCGGCCCCAGGGCCCCCCCACACACACACACTTCCCCACCTTGGTTCCCAGGTCAGATCGATGTCTCTGAGATCCAGCAGAGTTTCCAAGCTCTGGGCATTTCTATCTCTCTGGAGCAGGCACAGAAAATTCTTCACAGGTGAGTAGTTGGGGTCCAGAATCCCAGGTAACTCTGGCCCCTGAGATCCCTTGATTGCCTGGAGCCTCTGGGCCTTAGACCAAGTACCAGGGTGGTCGGAGCTAAGAAGTTGAGCTTTGGAGTCAAGTCCATCTTGGGCCAGTTGCTTCACTGCTCTGAGCCTCAGTTTCCCCCACTGTAAAATGGCCAGCTCTCAGTGCAGTCGAGCTTGGTCTGCCTCCAAATCCAACCAGAGCCTCACTCCAGCCCACCCCCCAGCATCAGGCACTGATTCTATCCCACCCCCCAGCATGGACCGTGACGGCACTATGACTATCGACTGGCAGGAATGGCGTGACCACTTCCTGTTGCATTCATTGGAGAATATGGAAGACGTGCTCTACTTCTGGAAGCATTCCACGGTGAGGTGGGGGTGGCTTTCCTCCTCCCCTGGGGGCCTAGCTCAGGTCTCCCCAGGGTACGGAGGGGCTGGGTCAGGATGCTCTAGAACAGCGGTTCTCAACCTGCGGGTCAGACTCCTTTGGGGGTCGAACGACCCTTTCACAGGGGTTGCCTAAGACCATCGGAAAACACATATATAATTACATATTGTTTTTGTGATTAATCACTATGCTTTAATTATGTTCAATTTGTAACAATGAAAATACATCCTGCATATCAGATATTTACATTACAATTCATAACAGTAGCAAAATTACAGTTATGAAGTAGCAACGAAAATAATTTTATGGTTGGGGGTCACCACAACATGAGGAACTGTATTAAAGGGTCGCGGCATTAGGAAGGTTGAGAACCACTGCTCTAGAAGGAGGAGCCACTGGGAGCAGCCAAGGAATGAGACTCGGCTCCTCTTTCCTTCCATCCAGAACTGGGGGGCTGAGGACCCATTTGGGGAGGTCTCTGCAATCTGATTGGAGCCCTTGAGACTTCCTGAGGGGCCTCTGGGAGCAGGCTGTGGGTACTGGGAGTGCAGGGAGGAAAGAGCTCACCAAATAGGGCACCTGGCCTCCTACCCTCAACCCACGCAGCTCCCTTTCTGGTTTTTAAATGCCTCAATTAAGGATTCTGCTGCTGAAAAGACAAGAAGCCACTGCCTCCAGAGGTTCTAATGGGATCCACGGGAATTTGGGAGGAGTGCTCTAGATTGCCATTTCCTGGGGAGGGGGAATTCCTGAACAGTGTTTCTGGTAGGAACTGATGCATTTGGAGGGGATCCATTTGTGGGATATGGTGAGATCTTCTTGGGAGGTGCAGAAATTCATCAGGGGATTCATGGAGGGGCTTGGTTGGGAAGTTTATAGGAGGACTCTAGAGGAGGGATTATCTCTGTGGGAGAAATCCCTATGGGATTTGGTGAGACCTAGGGAGGGATCTGCGAGGCGCCTTATCTGAGAGGTCCCCTGTAGGATCTTGTGTGGCCCTGGAAGGATCTTCTGGAATCCTTATGTGGGAGACCCTTGAGTGGGATCCTTCAGAGGGATCTGATTGACTCTGGAGGGATCTTTATGTGGCAAATCCTTCAATGGAATTTGGTCAAAGTCCCCAAGGAGGGATATTAGGATCTTACATGGGAGACAGATGACTGACTTGGATGTTTTGGTGGGATCTGGTAGGGAATCTCCAAGATTCATTGATGGACTGTTTGGGTGTCTGAGGATTCTTGGAGACACCCCTGTTTAGAGCTGTGTTACATCTCTCCACCCCTGCATCCTCAGGTCCTGGACATTGGCGAGTGCCTGACTATCCCTGATGAGTTTTCAGAGCAGGAGAAGCTGACCGGCATGTGGTGGAAGCAGCTGGTGGCCGGTGCAGTGGCGGGCGCCGTGTCACGGACAGGCACAGCCCCTCTGGACCGCCTCAAGGTCTTCATGCAGGTAAGGGGCCCTGGAGAGACGCACCGTCTTCCTGAGACCTGGGCCCCTGGAAGGGACTGCAAAGTCACCTAGTCTCCCTGCATAGGTCCATTCCTCCAAGACCAACCAGCTGAACATCCTTGGGGGCCTACGGAACATGATCCAAGAGGGCGGCGTGCGCTCTCTATGGCGTGGCAACGGGATCAATGTGCTCAAGATTGCACCTGAGTCAGCTATCAAGTTCATGGCCTATGAGCAGGTGGGGGCAATTGTGGGGAGGCATGAGTTAGGATTCAGAGGATTGGCTTGGGGGCAGGGGATGTCTGCAGGTCCCCAGGAGTGCACATCTGTTCCCCTGCATGATGCCCATGACAGGAGGACAGTAAAGGGGCGGTCCAAGTGCATGGAAAGCTCACCCCCTGAGGTCCTGCCCACCGCTGTGTCTCCCACCCTCAGTTCAAGCGGGCCATTCGGGGACAGCAGGAGACACTGCATGTGCAGGAGCGCTTTGTGGCTGGATCCTTGGCTGGTGCTACAGCCCAAACCATCATTTACCCCATGGAGGTGAGAAGGGGGGGACCCTGACTGAGGCCCCATTGCAGGGTGGGGAGGCCTGCAATCATCATTTCTCTTCATGGTGTGATAAGCATTGGGATTGTAATGTTGCCTCTCCCTGACTCAGACTGTAGCCCGTTACAGCAGTGCTGTTTCATGTCTAGCCTCCCTGGGAACCGCAATTTGAGATGTGACTTCTGGGGATGGTGGTGTTGGTTGTAACTGTTTAGACGGCCATTGTGGGAGAAGCCATTTATGGACATACCTCTTCTAAGGATGTTGATTTCCAAAATGCTTGTTCCCAAGGGTATCATTTCTAGGTAAACCTGTTTTCAGAGAAATCATTGTAGGTTTTAGGTTGTGTAGTGCGTCAGGTAGGATTCTGAGTGATGGAAAACACAAATCACATAAGCAAAGTCTAACGGTGAGCAGTTCAGTGCTGGCATGTGGCTTCAAAGTGTTAGAGACCCAGGCTCCTTCCCACTATCTTGTTCCACCACCTCCGCATGTAGCATCCACCTTGCGGACAAAAATGACTTCTTGTTCCAGTCATCACATCCACATTCCAGCCAAGAAGGAAGAATAGACAGAGAAAAGAACATCTCCCTGCCTTTAAGGATGCTTTTTGAAAGTTACGCATACCTCTTCTCCTTCTGCTTCTGTTTCATTGGCTAGGGCTTAATCACATGGCCCTACGCCTAGGGAAACTGAGAAATGTAGTCTTTATTTCTAAAGGCTATGGACCATAATTTCCTGAAAATTATGGTTTCTTTTATTAAGGGAGAAGGGACCATGATATTGGAAGACTGTTAGCAGTGGCTGCCACATGTAACCATTTTTAAGTATGGAGATTAGAGATACCAGAAGATTCTAGATAAAGCGGTTTTTTAAATTCACTTATTCTCAGGGTATCTCCTTCCAGGAGTAGCTATTTATAGGTGTCTTCCTTCCTGGGTGTAGTGATTCCAGAGGCAACTTTCCAGGGATAACCGGGTTCTCCCCAGGTACTAAAGACACGGTTGACCCTTCGCCGGACGGGCCAGTACAAGGGGCTGTTGGACTGTGCATGGCGGATCATGGAGCGAGAAGGGCCCCGTGCCTTCTACCATGGCTACCTGCCCAACGTGCTGGGCATCATTCCCTACGCGGGCATCGACCTGGCCGTCTACGAGGTCTGTGGGCAGCCCGCCCCTCTCTCCTTTCTTCTTCCCTCTGGGATCTGCCCACGGGCCACCCATTCCTGTGGGGCTGACTCAGTTGAACTCCAGAACCAGGGGAGACAATCCTGGGGTAGAGAAGCACCATGGATCTGGGGACCCTGGGGAACCCTTTCAGGCATTAGATAGCCTCACTCTTTCACTTACCCCTGCAGTTCAGCCTTCCGGGGTCTCAGGACACATGATAGTCGGGACCCCATATTTGCTGGGCACTGGGCAGGCTGCTGTATCAAACGAGAACAACACAGCCCTTGCCCTCCTGGAAACCACTTCAACAAACTAGGAAGCCAGTCAAAGTCAACCAGCAAATAAGTAATTTTAGATCCTGATGCACTCACAGAAGATAATAAAGCAGGCTATGTAATCAAAAGTAGCAGTGGACAAAAAGGCAGGTCTGGGAATGTCTAAGGAGAGGGAGAGAAACATCGATGTGAGAGCAGAACATCAGTTGGCTGCCTCCTGCATGCCCCCTACTGGGGATCAAGCCCACAGCCTGGGCATGTGCCCTGACTGGGAATCGAACTGGCAAACTTTCGGTGCACGAAACAACATCAACCAACTGAGTCACACTGGCCAGAGCTTCTCTGACTCTTATAAGGACCCTTGTGATCACATTGAACCAACCTGAATACTCTAGGATCATCTCTCATCTCAAGGTCCTTAACTTAATCCCATTGCAAAATTCTTTTTGCCATGTAAGATTCCATATTCACATGATCCAGGGACTAGGGGGGCCATCATTCCATATACCATAGAGGGTAGAGGTGGGGAATGAGTGAGAAGGTGCAGGTAAAATGATTGTGTTGCATTTAGGGGTACAAAGTGCTGAACTAGCTGTCATGGGATATAGCGAGGTCTCTGAAGCCAAGGTCCTAGTGTCACCCACCTTCAACCCACCCTATTCCCCTCTTCACCCCAGACCCTGAAGAACCAGTGGCTCCAGCAATATAGCCATGACTCGGCTGACCCTGGCATCCTCGTGCTCCTGGCCTGTGGCACTATCTCCAGCACTTGTGGCCAGATAGCCAGTTACCCCCTGGCCCTGGTCCGGACCCGTATGCAGGCCCAAGGTGAGGCCTGGGTGGGAGGATGGGTGGGAAGGTCTCACAATTTGGGTCCCACCTCCACTTCCCCAGCTCTTCCTCCTGGGTAGGTAGAATCCCAGGCTGGAATACTCCTGGATTTGAATGGCCCAACCAATTCCCAACCTTTCTCTGGGCCTCAGTGTACCCATTTGTGACCATGGAATGGGAGCCCTTTGCCCTAACTAGGAGAGCGGATGCAACGAGTAGTGGAAGGGCCCTAGCAATCTTAGCTGGGAGGTCACTTGGTAGACTTCAGCATATTTGGGCTGGTAATTCGAGATCTAATTTGCAAGGCTGGGTTAATGAGGAAAGGTGAGGAACGGGGTAAGGAGGGGCAGGGCCAGGCTGGTTATCATCTTGTGTTTCTCTGTATTTTTCTTTCATGGGTTCTTTCCTTGATTCCCCTACTATCCCTGAATCTATTTTGAGAATTTCCTAGAAAATGTTAGCGTTTGTGTCCCATGATTTTCGCTGAAGGATTATCAGGGCATAAGACAGATGTAGTTCACAGGCTGGAGAGGAAGAAAGATGCCGAATGAGCCATTCCACAATTGAGTATGGATTTAGGGTTGAATAAAGGGGAAAAGGAGCCTGACTTAGACTGGGGTGCCCAGGAGGGCTTCCATGAAGAACTGGCTTTAGAATGGAGGTTGCAAGGATGAGTTAGCTGGGAGAAGCGGGTGCGAATCATTCCAGGAAGAGGACACTACTGTGCCCTCTCCCACTACACACACTCATACCTACTCTGTTTTGAATAGTCCCCAAACTTGGGCCCTCCAGATTGAAGTGAAAAGGTGAACAGTCCATTCCAAGGCCAGTAGAAGTCCCGACTCTTGAGTGGTAGGTCCTGCTGTTAGTCTAACCTTCCTTTATCCTGCTGTAACTGCCACCTGACCCAGCCCTGAGGGGTGGGAGGGGGAAGGGAGAGGAGGACCTTTGACCTGACCTGGCCCCTACCCCTCCCAGCCTCCATCGAGGGCGCCCCCCAGCTCTCCATGCTGGGTCTGTTCCGTCACATCCTGTCCCAGGAGGGCATACCAGGCCTCTACAGGGGCATCGCCCCCAACTTCATGAAGGTTATCCCAGCTGTGAGCATCTCCTATGTGGTCTACGAGAACATGAAGCAGGCTCTGGGGGTCACGTCCAGGTGAGGGACCCAGAGCCACCCTCACTAAGATTCCTCGCCTCAATCATGACGACCCCTACACCTCAACCACTGGAGACTGATGGCCCAGCCAATGGATCCCACTCAAACCACAGGATCCCTGTACTTCATCCACTGGGTCCTGCATCCCACATCCTACCTACTGGGTTTCATATTTCCCTGTCTCCCTTG